TATTTCAGAGAGGAAAGGAGAGAGAGAGAGAGAGAGAGAGGGAAATATCCGTGATGGGAGATGGGAGGGACCCACGGATCGGCGGCCTCCTGCACAGCCCCCCACCCTGGGGACCCAGCCCACCACCTGGGCACCTGCACTTGGCAGGAATCGAACCCGGGACCCCTTCACTCCGCTGGCAGGCACTCTACCCACTGAGCCATGCCGGCCGGGCACTGCCCCATTTCTTATCTGGAGCTTAGATAGTGCTGAGGCCAGCCCTCGCCCCGGCTGAGAGGGAGGAGGGTACGGCCCCCCCTTGTCTCCACGCCCCTGCCTCCACGAGATCCAGCACCTTATAGGGCGGATCTGATGGGCACAACCCAGCCATATTTCCTCTCCCCCTCCTTCTGCCCTTCCTTTCCCTCCTCCCCCTCCCCCTCCCCCTTCCCCCTCCCCCTCTCCCTCCCCCTCCCCCTCCCCCTCCCCCCTCCTCCTCCTCCCCCTCCTCCCCCTCCTCCCCCTCCTCCTCTTCCCCCCTTCTCCCACTCCTCCTCCCCCTCTCCCCTCCTCCTCCTCCTCCTCCCCCTCCTCCCCATCCTCCTCCCCTCCTCTCCCTCCTCCCCCTCCTCCCCCTCCTCCCCCTCCTCCCCATCCTCCTCCCCTCCTTCTCCCTCTCCTCCCCCTCCTCCTCTCCTCCCCCTCCACCTCCCCCTCCTCCCCTCCCTCCTCCTCCTCCCCCCTCCTCCCCCCTCCTCCCCCTCCTCCCCCCTCCCCCTCCCCCTCCTCCCCCTCCTCCCTCTCCTTTCCCTTCTCTCCCTCCTCCCCCTCCCCTCCTCCTCTCCCTCTCCCTTTCCCTCCTCCTCTCCCTCCCCCTTCCCCTCCCCCTCCCCCCCTCCTCCTCCTCCTTCCCCTCCTCTGGTGTTGCTTTGCCCTGAGCAGATTCCGTGGACGTGGGAGGGTCAGGTGACCAGGCTGGTGACTTCCTCCCTCGTGGGCTGTGACATCATCCCCCCTCCCCGAGGCCTGGAGCCGCTCGGTGGCCCAGGCCCTGCCCTCTCCCCGGGACCTCCGTTCATTCAGAGCCAACGGGCAGGTACGGGGAGTGGGCACCGGGGCCCTGGCCTGGGTGGGGGGTGAGGGGGGGGCATGGACGGGGACAGGGATGTCAGGGCCGAATCCAGAAGATGCTCGGGCCCGGCCGGCGTGGCTCAGGGCTGGAGCGTCGACCTAGGAGCCGGGAGGTCACGGGTTCGAGTCCCCGTCAGGGCACAGGCCCAGGTTTTGGGTCTGATCCCCAGTGGGGGGCGTGCAGGAGGCAGCCGATCCGTGATTGTGTCTCATCGTGGATCTCTCTCTCCCTCTCTCTCTCTCTCTCTCTCTCTCTCTCTCTCCCTTTCCCTTCCTCTCTGACATCCTTAAAATAAAAAAAAACATGCACACGGAGTGGCCAGAGGATGATGATCTCTGAATGCATAATAATCTGGCTACTCAGAGTGTGTGTGTGTATGTGTATATGTATATGTGTATGTGTATGTATATGTATATATGTGTGTATATATATGTGTGTACGTGTATAGGTGTATATGTAGAAGTGTATGTGTGTGTGTGTGTGTATGTATGTATGTACCCTGTTTCCCCGAAAATAAGACAGTGCCTTATATTAATTTTTGCTCCCAAAGATGCGCTAGGTCTTATTTTCAGGGGATGTCTTATTTTTCCATGAAGAAGGATACGGCACACATTTATTGTTAAATGAAAATAAAGGAAATGTATTACCTGTGTACAGTACGGTAGTACGGTAGTTGTCAACACAAACCAGACACACTGTGAATCCTACAGTAGCAAGAATTGACTCATTTATTCAATGACAATCATGGCATCATCTCCTGGAACATCATCCTCACAATCCAATTCCCGAATTTCCTGGTGAATTTCCTGTGACTCCATTTCTTTCAGAATCAGTGGACCAAATCTCTCATGGTTAGCCTGGTGGGGGGGGCCTTATTTTCGGGGGGGGGGGATGCCTTATATTTCACTCAGAAGGAAACCTGTGAGTAGGTCTTATTTCCGGAGGATGTCTTATTTTCGGGGAAACACGGTATATGTATGTGTGTGTGTGAGTGTGTGTGTGTGTGTGTGTGTGTGTGTGTATATATATATATATCTATATATATATATATCTATATATATATATATATATATATATGAGGCCCGGTGCATGAATCCGTGCATGGGTGGGGTCCGGCCAGCCTGGCCAGGGGGAGGGGACAGGGGCGGTCGGCCGGCCTGCCTGCTGGTCGGACCCCCGGTCGAGGGGCCCATGTGCACATGAGCCTTTTATTCTATAGGAGATGCACGGAGGGGCCGGATTACGAGTTCAGAGATCATCACCCTCTGGCCGCTCCGTGTGTTTTATATATATATATCGTATACTGCATATATATATTCCAATGTTCTGATTCTTTCCTTCTTTAGATGCATTTTGTCTTATGTATTGATTTCTATGGGATGTGCGGAGCGAGCCGGTCTCTGGGGGCTCCACTCCGGGTCCTCGGGTTTCTGTTGGTTACGGAGGACGTTCAGGTGTTAGGAGGGTTTCCGGTGTCATTCCAGTTTGTTCCAGGAGCATGCCGTGCAGCACCCGCTTTCTCTGTCGCCGTTTTTAATCCCCCCTCTCTCTCGCCCTCTCCCCTACCCCTCTCTCTCTCTCTGTGTGTGTAAATATATATATATATATATATATATACATATATATATATATATATATTTTTTTTTTATGTTTATTTTTAAATGGAGTCTTTTCTTTTTTAAAATATATTTTATTATTATTATTTTTTTACAGAGAGGAAGGGAGAGGGACAGAGAGCTAGAAACATCGATGAGAGAGAAACATCCATCAGCTGCCTCCTGCACGCCCCCCACCGGGGATGTGCCCGCCACCAAGGTCCATGCCCTTGACCGGAATCGAACCTGGGACCTTCAGTCCGCAGGCCGACGCTCTATCCACTGAGCCAAACCGGTTTCGGCTATATTCCCCCCCCCCCCAAATATTTGTATTGATTTCAGAGAAGGGAGAGGGAGAGAGAGAAACATCCATGATGAGAGGGAATCACGGATCGGCTGCCTCCTGCACGCCCCCCACTGGGGATGGAGCCCATATCCGGGCCTGTGCCCTTGACTGGGAATCGAACCCGGGACCCTTCTGTCTGCCGGCCGATGCTCTACCCAGCGAGCCACACCAGCCGGGGCTAAGAGATCATCATAATCAGAGGCTAATAGACATGTGTGGCTGTCCTGCTGCGATGCGAGGCTGCGTCCCCTCTTGGTGGGGCTTGACGGGGGTGGGGCCTGCGGGGTCTTGGAATCGCCCCATGGGGTGGGTCAGCGGGACCCTTCTATTCTGGAGGAAGGGCAAACAGCAGCCCTGTGTATCATAAAAGCCTCCTGTGCAAAGTGGCCCCTGAGTTGGCCGTTCAACCAATCAACGCTGATGAGATGCTCAGGCTGCTGTCTGAGTGGGAGAGGCCTCTGGTCAGCAGAGTGCGCCCCCGTCTGTCTCCCGGGGACCCTCCTTTTCCCACGGGGTCCGCCCCCAGCTGCCGGGGGCCGGGGGCCGGGGCCGGGGGCAGGGGCAGGGGGCCGGGGGCAGGGGGCCGGGGGCAGGGGCCAGGGCCAGGGGCAGGGGGCCGGGGTCAGGGGGCAGGGGCAGGGGCCGGGGACAGGGGAAGGGGCCGGAGGCAGGAAGCAGGGGCAGGGGACAGGGGCAGGGGCAGGGGCAGGGGCCAGGGCCAGGGGCAGGGGCCGGAGGCCAGGGGCTGGGGCAGGAGGCAGGGGGCAGGGGCAGGAGGCAGGGGGCAGGGGGCAGGGGCAGGCGGCAGGGGGCAGGGGCAGGGACAGGGGGCAGGGGGCCGGGGCAGGGGGCAGGGGGCGGGGGCAGGGGGCCGGGGCAGGGGGCAGGGGGCCGGGGCAGGGGGCAGGGGGCGGGGGCAGGGGGCCGGGGCAGGGGGCAGGGGGCTGGGGCAGGGGGCCGGGGGCAGGGGCACTTCCTGGGAGAACAGGTGGTGACCGGTTCTGACTTCCAGGCGGGCACCTCGGGGTGGGGTCTGGACTCCACGGGGAGGCAGTGGCTTTAAGATATGAAAATGGGCCCAGCCGTCAGGGCTCTGGGGCTGAGCATCGACCTAGGAACCAGGAGGTCAGGGTTCGATTCCCGGTCAGGCCACAGGCCCGGGTTGGTGGCTGGGGGGGTGTGCAGGTGAGGGGCGTGCAGGTGGCGGCCGATTTGTGATCCTCTCTCATCATGGTTGTTTTTCTCTCTTCCTCTCCTTCCTCTCTAAAATCCACAAAATATATTTAAATATATATATATTTATATGGTTACTGAATTCAGAGAGGAAGGGAGAAGGGGAGAGAGAGAGAGAAACGTCAATGAAGGCCCCGGCCGGTGTGGGTCAGTGGAGAGAGCATCAGCTTGTGGACGGAAGGGTCCCGGGTTCGATTCCCGGTCAGGGCACAGGTCCGGGTTGTGGGCTCCATCCCCAGTGGGGGGGCGTGCAGGAGGCAGCCGATTCATGACTCTCTCATCACTCGTGTTTCTCTCTCTCCCTCTCCCTTCCTCTCTGAAATCCATAAAAACATATTAAAAAAACAAACAAACAACAACCCCAAAACCCCCAAAACATCGATGATGAGAGAGAATCACGGATCGGCTGCCTCCTGCATGCCCCCCACTGGGGATCGGGCCCACAACGCTGGCAGGTGCCCTTGACCGGGAGGGAATCGAACCCCGACCTCCTGGTTCCTAGGGCGATGCTCTAACCACTGAGCAACACCAGCCGGGCTGCTCTTTGCGCGGCCTGTGCTCCATGCCCGCGTGCCCTGCTTGGGGGACACGGTCAGGGCAGCAGCCCCCTGGCCCAGATCCTCGGGGTCTGGCCTCCGGGGGTGCCTCGCCCTGGGGCCCCCCCTCTTGCTCTCCTGGCACTGATAGGCCCTCTTGTCTCTCCGCTGCTTTGCAGAGATGGCCTCGGACCTGCCGGGATCGGTGACGCTGCCCGTGGCGCCCATGGCGGCCGCCGGACAGGTGCGGATGGCCGGGACCGTGCCCGCCCGCGGAGGGAAGCGGCGATCGGGGTAAGCACCCCCTTTTTCTCCCCCTGCCCCCCAGTCCGGGCACTGGGCCTTCTCTAAGCTCCCAGGGAGGGACTCCCCTCCCCTCCCTCCCACCCTGTCACCCTGAGCTCCAGCTGCTCGGGCAGCAGGAGTCTTTGCTGGCCGGCTCCGTGGCTGAGCATCGATCTCCGAACCAGGAGGTCCCGGGTTCGATTCCCGGTCAGGACACAGGCCCGGGTGGTGGGCTCCATCCCCAGTGGGGGGCGTGCAGGAGGCAGCCAAACTATGATTCTCTCTCCTCATGGATGCCTCTCTCTCTCTCTCTCTCTCTCTCTCTCTCTCTCTCATCCTTTCTCTGAAAAGCATCCACGGAGTGGCCAGGTGATGATGATCTCTGAACGCATGATCATCTGGCCACTCAGTGTACATCCCATAGAATAAAAGGCTAATATGCAAGGCCGAAACCGGTGTGGCTCAAAGGATAGAGCATCTGCCTGCAGACTGAAGGGTCCAGGGTTCGATTCCTGGTCAAGGGCATGTACCTGGGTTGCGGGCACATCCCCGGTGAGGGCTATGGAGGAGGCAGCTGATCGATGATTCTCTCTCATCAAGGTTTCTAACTCTCTGTCCCTCTCTCTTCCTCTCTATAAAAAATCAATAAAAATATATATATTTTTAAAAAGGCTAATATGCAAATGGTCCCCTCAACCTGGAGTTTGATCAGCAGGCAGGCCGGCCAACCTTGGGGCCATTTTATTTCATTTTATATTTTTAAAAAGACATTTTTCATTGATTTCCGTGAGGAAGGAAGAAGGAGAGAGAGAAACATCTATGATGAGAGAGAATCATGGACCGGCTGCCTCCTGCACGCCCCCCACTGGGGATCAAGCCCACAACCCGGGCCTGTGCCCTTGACCGGGAATCGAACCCGGGACCCTTTGTTCCGCAGGCCGGTGTTCTCTCCACTGAGTCATGCCGGCCAGGGAGAGCTCAAAGGCATTTTAAAGATAACTCTTTCCCCCCACACCCGCCTGAGGTTTGGCCCCGGTGCTGGCCCTCAGATCCTGTTGGGAGTTTTGAGAATTCCATCCTTTCTCCCCTTGAACCGTAAAATGTGAGTGACAGTTCCCGGGATGGACACCAGATGGCGCCGTGGCTTCACAGCTGGGCTGTGCGTGACCAATGGTGACGCAGCCAGGCTGGGAGAGGGAGAGAGGGCCCAACCGTGTGTGACCTTTCGTTTGACCTTTTCTTGTCTGGAACTTGTGTGAGGGTCAGGAAGAGAGGGTTCTCCACCCGTGACCTGGCTCACCTGTGACCTTGTGCACCCGTGACCTTTCTCACCCTGACCTTGCAAACCTTTGACCTTGTACGCCCGTGACCTTGCGCACATGTGACTGTGCTCACCCATGACCCTGGGAACCCATGACCTTGCACACCTGTGACCTGGCTCACCCCTGACCTGTGACCTTGAACACATTGACCTGGCTCACCTGTCACCTGGCTCACCTGTGACCTTGCTCACCCATGACCTTGCACACCTGTGACCTTGCACACCCGTGACCTTGCACACATTGACTTGGCTCATCTGTGACTTTGCTCACCCCTGACCTGGCTCACCCATGACCTGGCTCACCTGTGACCTGGCTCACCCGTGACCTTGCACATCTGTGACCTGGCACACCTGTGACCTGGCTCACCCGTGACCTTGCACACATTGACCTGGCTCGCCCGTGACCTGACTCACCCGTGACCTTGAACACATTGACCTGGCTCACCTGTCACCTGGCTCACCTGTGACCTTGCTCACCCGTGACCTTGCACACCCGTGACCTTGCACACATTGACCTGGCTCGCCCGTGACCTCTGCCTTCCAGGATGGACTTTGACGACGAGGACGGCGAGGGCCCCAGCAAGTTCTCCAGGTGAGTGTCCGGGCCGCCAGCCTCCGGCACCCGACCGAACGGCCTCCTTTGGAGAGGGGGGGGGGGGCGAGAGGAGAGGAGCGTCCACGGAGAGAGGGCCTGGGCCGCCGCCTCCTGCGTGCCCGACCCCGACCCCGACCCCGAGGGAGCCACTGCCCCTGGCTGACCCCTGACCCCGACCCCGAGGGAGCCTTTGCCCCTGGCCGGCCCCACGTGCCCCTGTCCCAGGGCCCCGGCAGGAAGTGGGCAGCAGCCGCCCCGGCCCCGCCCGGTCGCTCAGTGACACACCAGCACCTCTGGGGGCTTTCCTGAAGCAGGGTCTGTCCATGTTCAAGGGGTTCCTCTGTTGTTAACCCTCCCCCGAAGTTTTCATTTTCATTTTATTATTATTATTTTTAAAATATATTTTATTGATTTTTTACAGAGAGGAAGACAGAGAGTTAGAAACATGGATGAGAGAATCATCCATCAGCTGCCTCCTGCACACCCCCCACCGGGGATGGGCCCACAACCAAGGCACATGCCCTTGACTGGACTTGAACCCGAGACCCTCCTGTCCGCAGACCGATGCTCTATCCACTGAGCCACACCGGTCTCGGCTTCACGCGGTGGTTTTTAGAGAGAGTGGAAGGGCGGGGGAGGGGAAGAGAGCGAGCGAGCGAGAGAGAAACATCGATGAGACAGACACTGCTCGGTCGGGCACCAAACCCCAAACCCAGGCTCGGGCCCCGGCTGGGAATCGAACCCCAGACCCTCCGGTGCCTGGGATGACGGACGCTCCAACCACTGAGCCATCCGCCCAGGACTGACCGTGCCTTCTGCGTGACGCCTGCCCCCAGCCCCCTCTCCCCCCGGATGGTGAAACAATGGCTCTCAGTGTCTCTGGGTTCAATCCCCCGCCCCCCCCCCCCCCCCCCCCCCCCCGCTGAGAGAACATTCCAGAGCCAGCGTGCTCACTCAGGACTGCTGGCTGCGGGGGGTCTGGGGACAGGAAGAGGAAGTGGCGTGGGGAGCGATGTTGGTTTGACCTCCAGGGTCAGGGTCGGGGGTGAGGCAGCCCCACGGGGGGGCCCCAGAGCTGCTGTGTGAGGTCCCCCTCACCCCCGGGCCCGGGGAGGGAGGGGGCGCCTGGACCCCCAGCTGCTCTCCCCGGAGCCCGTCAGAGTCTGCTCGCCCCCTGCAGGTTAAGCAAGATTGAGAGAGAGAGAGAGAGAGAGAGAGAGAGAGAGAGAGAGAGAGCGAGCTGGGCAGGGTGGTCCAGTGGTTAGAGCATCTACCTAGAAACCAGGAGGTCAGGGTTCGATTCCCAGTGTGGGGCGTGCAGGGGGTGGCTGGACCCTCAGCTGCTCTCCCCTAAGCCCGTTAGAGTCTGTTTCACAGCACAGCTGCTGCTCATCACCCGCAGGTTAATTGAGAGAGAGAGAGAGAGAGAGAGAGAGAGAGAGAGAGAGAGAGAGAGCGCGAGCGCCGGGCAGGGTGGTCCAGTGGTTAGAGCACCGACCTAGGAACCAGGAGGTCAGGGCTCGATCCCCAGTGTGGGGCGTGCAGGAGGCAGCCGGTCCAGGATTCTCTCTCCTCGTGGACGTTTCTCTCTCTCTCTCTCTCTCTCTCCTTTTCTCTCTGACATCAGTAAAAACATATTTTTTGAAAAAACGAGAGAGGAAGACAGACGGGCTTCCGTTATGCTGAGTGTGTAGGAGCCGGGCCGCCGGACTCTGGCCTGTGGGGACAGAGTCGGGGACACGCCTGAGGCCGCCCCACTCCTGGTGGCTCAGCTGTGGCCGCGGCTGCTGCCCCAGGCAAGGGGCGGGCGGGGAGTCACTTCCGGCTGTCTCCTGCCAGCAGGAGGGAATTTTTAAATATGTTTTATTGGTTTTTCACAGAGAGGGAGGGAGAGGGAGAGAGAGTCAGAAACATCGGTGAGAGAGAAATACCCATCAGCTGAAACTTGTACATCCCCCACTGGGGATGTGCCCGCAACCAAGGTCCATGCCCTTGACCGGAATCGAACCCGGGACTCTTCATTCTGCAGACCGATGCTCTAACCACTGAGTCAAACCGGTTTTGGGGAATTTTTTATTTTTTAAAAATTGATTTCACAGAGGACAGGAGAGAGAGAGAGAGATCCATGGTGGGAGAGAATCACGGATCAGCTACATGCCCCGCACTGGGGATCAAGCCCACAACCCGGCGTGTGCCCTGACCGGGAATCGAACCCGTGACCTCCGGGTTCCTAGGTGGATGCTAAGCCCCTGAGCCACACCGGCTGCGGGGACAGTGTCTGAATGCTTCAAGCTCCTGCACAGTCCCTGGGTTCATGGCCACGTGTCAGGATTTCTGGGTATTTAGATGAGCATCCTGTTGCCTGGCAACCCTGCCCCTCCAGGGATCCCCACAAAGCTCGCTCAGGTGTCAGAGAGCCTGTTCCCTGCAGAGACCCCCACAAAGCTCGCTGGGGCATCGGGAAGCCTGTGCCCAGTGAGTGTTCAGGGACCATCTCCGCTGCCCGGTCCCTCCGCTGTGCCTCCTGTTGCCTGGCAACCATGCCAGGTCTGACCCTTCTCCCTCCCTCCTGTTGCCTGGCAACCGCGCCAGGTCTGAGACTATCACTCCCCCCTGTTGCCTGGCAACTGCGCCAGGTCTGATGCTTCTCCCTCCCTCCTGTTGCCTGGCAACCATGCCAGGTCTGATGCTTCTCCCTCCCTCCTGTTGCCTGGCAACCATGCCAGGTCTGATGCTTCTCCCTCCCTCCTGTTGCCTGGCATCCATGCCAGGTCTGAAGCGTCTCCCTCCATCCTGTTGCCTGGCAACCACGCCAGGTCTGACGCTTCTCCCTCCCATTGCCTGACAACCGCCCCGGTCTGATGCTTCTCCCTCCCTCCTGTTGCCTGGCAACCGCCCCGGTCTGATGCTTCTCCCTCCCTCCTGTTGCCTGGCAACCGCCCCGTCTGATGCTTCTCCCTCCCTCCTGTTGCCTGGCAACCATGTCAGGTCTGATGCTTCTCCCTCCATCCTGTTGCCTGGCAACTGCGCCCGGTCTGAAGCTTCTCCCGCCCTCCAGTTGCCTGGCAACCACGCCAGGTCTGAGGCTTCTCCCTCCTGTTGCCTGGCAACCGCGCCCGGTCTGACGCTTCTCTCTCCCCCGCCCCGCGCCTGCTTCCTGCTGGGAAGAGAGAACCACAGTGAGATCGAGCGGCGGCGGCGGAACAAGATGACGCAGTACATCACGGAGCTGTCGGACATGGTGCCCACCTGCAGCGCGCTGGCCCGCAAGCCGGACAAGCTGACCATCCTGCGCATGGCCGTGTCCCACATGAAGTCCATGCGCGGCACCGGCAACAAGTCCACCGACGGCGCCTACAAGCCCTCCTTCCTCACCGAGCAGGTGCCCGCCTGCGGGTCCCGGGCTGAGCTCCCTCCGGGGCCGTGGGCTCAGGGCGGAGGGAGGACGGGCCAGTGGGCACATTCCGTCCTCGCTCTGCGCCGGGACGGCCCCTTCAGGGACTCTGCATAGCTCCTCTGGGCCTTTTTATTTTATTTATTTATCTACATATATATTTTATTGATTTTTTTTTACAGAGAGGAAGACAGAGAGATAGAGAGTAAGAAACATCAATGAGAGAGTCATCGATCGGCTGCCTCCTGCACGCCCCCCCACTGGGGATGTGCCCTCAACCAAGGTACATGCCCTTGACCGGAATCGAACCCGGGACCCTTCAATCCGCAGGCGACGCTCTGTCCACTGAGCCAAACCGGTTTCCGCTCCTCTGGGCCTTTAAAAAAAAAAAAAAAATTATATGGATGTCCGAGAGAGAGAGAGGGAGAGAGAGAGAGAAACGTCCATGATGAGAGAGAATCACAGACCGGCTGCCTTCTGCACGCCCCCCACTGGGGATGGAGCCCACCACCCAGAAGTGTGCCCTGGACCGGAATCGAACCTAGGACCCTTCAGTCTGCAGGGTGATGCTCTATCCACTGGGCCACACTGGCTAGGGCTCTTTCTTGTAAAAAGGGTTTTTATTGATTTTAGAGAGGAAGGGAGAGGGAGAGGGAGAGAAACATCCATGATGAGTCACAGATCGGCTGCCTCCTGCACGCCCCCCCCCCCACTGGGGATGGAGCCCGCCACCCCTGCGTGTGGCCTTGACCGGGAATCGAACCCGGGACCCTTCAGTCTGCAGGCCGACGCTCTACCCACTGAGCCACACCGGCCGGGGTCAAAGGCAGTTCTGATTCCCGAGCAGGCGGGGGCCCGTGGTCGTGGGCGCTGGCCCAGGAGATGGGAAAGGGGGGGAGGAGAGGGGAGGGGGCGCGTCTGAGCGTGAGGCTCTGTCCCCGGAGACCTTCCCACGGGCGGCAGCAGGCGGGCTGGGGCGGGAGCCCGGATGGCGCGTTAGCCCAGCCTCCTCCCTCCGTGGCGGGAAGCCTCCTTTCCCAGGCGCCCTGGGCCGCGGCCCCCGTGCTTCCTGTCGGGGGTGCACCCGCAGCTGGGAATGGAGATGCTGACCCTGCCCCTGTGGGTTCTGTCAGCGTCCGGGACGCACCCACTAACCCTCTCCTCCCAAGCCCACTTCCGCCCTCGGCTCCCAGGCGGGGGGGTTGGCGTCCGACCCCCTCACGGGCCCAGGGACCCTCAGGAAGCCCCTCAGGCCCCTCGCCAGCTGAGCCACGGGTTCTAGTCCTTGGGGATCGATGCTGGGCAGCGGGCTCTTTATCTGTGGTGGAGAGAGTCCTATGCAAGGTGTGATCTTGGTCCGGCTGGTGTGGCTCAGTGGTTGAGGGTCGACCTAGGAGCCAAGAGGTCACGGTTCCATTCCCGGTCAAGGGCACAGGCCCGGGTTGCGGGCTCCATCCCCAGTGGGGGGCGTGCAGGAGGCAGCCGATCCATGATGCTCTCTCTCTCTCTCTCTTTTTAAATTTTACTTTAAAAAATATATATATATATTTTATTGATTTTTTTACAGAGAGGAAGAGAGAGGGATAGAGAGTTAGAAACATCGAGGAGAGAGAAACATCGACCAGCTGCCTCCTGCACACCCCCTACAGGGGATGTGCCCGCAACCAAGGTCCACGCCCTTTCCCGGAATCGAACCCGGGACCTTTCAGTCCGCAGGCCGACGCTCTATCCACTGAGCCACACCGGTTTTGGCTACACAAGATGATCTTGGTCCGGCTGTCGAGGCTCAGTGGTTGAGTGTTGACCTATGAACCAAGAGCTCACGGTTCGATTCCCGGTCAAGGGGACGTGCCCGGGTGGCGGGCTCCATCCCCAGTGTGGGGTGTGCAGGAGGCAGCCGATCCATGATGCTCTCTCATCATGGACGTTCCTCTCTCTCCTTCTCCCTCCCTTCCTCTCTGCAGTCAATCTATACAAATCATAGAGGAACAGGCAAACTATCCAGGACACAGTAACAGTAACAACCATACAGCAGGCCCGCGGGGGGGAGGGCAAGGCAGTTGGGGGCAACCAGGATGATGGTGGGGGGACGGTTAGGGGTGATCAGGCAGGCAGGCAGGTGAGCAGTTAGGAGCCAGTGGTTCCGGATTGTGAGAGGGATGTCCGACTGCAGGTTTAGGCTCTACCCCCGGGATTGGGCCTACACCGGCAGTCAGATATCCCCTGAGGGGTCCCCCCCCCATTGTGCATGAATTTTGTGCACTGGGCCTGGCCTCTAGTACAAATATATTTTTAAAATATATTTTATTGATTTTACACAGAGAGGAAGGGAGAGAGAGAGAGAGCTAGAAACATCGATGAGAGAAACATCGACCAGCTGCCTCCTGCACACCCCCCACCGGGGATGTGCCCGCAACCAAGGTCCATGCCCTTGACCGGAATCGAACCCGGGACCTTTCAGTCCGCAGGCCGACGACGCTCTATCCACTGAGCCACACCGGTTCCGGCTAACGTCCTCTTTTGAAGTCAGTGTCAACAATAAGATGAAGGACGCCTTGAGGATATGGGAGTGAAACTTTTGGTTTTCAGGATGAGATTAGGCAGAAAGAACACTCAGGGGAAAATCATGGTTAAGGATGGAGGGAGCCCTGGCTGGGGTGGCTCAGTGGATAGAGCATCAGCCTACAGACTGAAGGGGGTCCTGGATTCCATTCCAGTCAAGGGCACAGGCCTGGGTTGTGGGCTCGATCTTCAGTAGGGGGCGTGCAGGAGGCAGCCGATCCAGGATTCCCTCTCATCATGGATGTTTCTCTCTCTCTCTCCCCCTCTCCCTTCCTCTCTGACATGCATCTCATACAGATGCATGAAAAAGAAAGAAAAGAGCCGAAACCGGTGTGGCTCAGCGGATAGAGCGTCGGCCTGCGGACTGAAAGGTCCCGGGTTCGATTCCGGTCCAGGGCGTGAACATTGCTTGCAGGCACATCCCCAGTGGGGGGTGTGCAAGAGGCAGCTGGTCGATGTGTCTCTCTCATCGATGTTTCTGACTTTCTATCCCTCTCCCATCCTCTCTGTAAAAAATCAGTAAAATACATTAGAAAGAAAGAAAGAGAGAGAGAGAGAGAGAGAAAGAAAGAGAGAGAGAGAAAGAAAGAAAAGAAAAGAAAAGAAAAGAAAGAAAGAAAGAAAGAAAGAAAGAAAGAAAGAAAGAAAGAAAGAAAGAAAGAAAGAAAGAAAGAAAAGAAAAGAAAGGAGAAAAATGGAGTTGGGGCTGGTTGGGGCGGGACGTGGGGGCCTGCCCTTCCCTGACCGGGGCCCCCCTCACCCCCAGGAGCTGAAGCACCTCATCCTGGAGGCGGCCGACGGGTTCCTGTTCGTGGTGGCGGCCGAGACGGGCCGTGTGATCTACGTGTCGGACTCGGTGACGCCGGTGCTGAACCAGCCGCAGTCCGAGTGGTTCGGCAGCACCCTGTACGAGCAGGTGCACCCCGACGACGTGGAGAAGCTGCGGGAGCAGCTGTGCACCTCGGAGAACTCCATGACAGGTCGGTGCCCCCGACCCCCGACCCCCGACCCCCGGCCCCGGCCCCGGCTCCCCGCCGCCCCCTTTCCCCGCGGGACCGCGGGACCCTCCACACCAGCTTCTTTCAGGAATCGGCTCACGGCCCAAACCGGTGTGGCTCCGTGGACAGAGCGTCACCTTGTGGACGGAAGGGTCCCGGGTTCGATTCCGGTCAAGGGCATGTGCATTGGTTGCGGGAACATCCCCGGTGGGGGGTGTGCAGGAGGCAGCTGGTCGATGTCTCTCTCTCATCGATGTTTCTAGCTCTCTGTCCCTCTCTCTTCCTCTCTGTGAAAAATCAATAAAATATATATATTTAAAAAATATTGAAAAGAGCCCAAACCGGTGTGGCTCAGTGGATGGAGCGTCGGCCTGCGGACGGAAGGATCCCAGGTTCGATTCCGGTCGAGGGCATGTAGCTTGGTTGCGGGCACATCCCCAGTGGGGGGCGTGCAGGAGGCAGCTGGTCGATGTTTCTCTCTCATCGATGTTTCTAGCTCTCTGTCCCTCTCCCTTCCTCTCTGTAAAAAAAAAAAAAAAAAAAATCAATAACATATATATTTTTAAAAAATACTAAAAAGAGCCCAAACCGGTGTGGCTCAGTGGATACAGCGTCGGCTTACGGACTGAAGGGTCCCGGGTTCGATTCCGGTCAAGGACATGTACGTTGGTTGCAGGCACATCCCCGGTGGGGGGCGTGCAGGAGGCAGCTGATCGATGTTTCTCTCTCATCGACAGAAGGAATTTCTAGCTCTGCACTTAAATGCTTCCACAGGGCTCGGCCAGTGTGGCTCAGTGGTTGAGCATCAACCTATGAACCAGGAAGTTACAATTCGATTCCCGCTGAGGGCACAGGCCCGGGTTGCAGGGTCCATCCCCAGTGGGGGGCGTGCAGGAGGCAGCCGATTTCGGAAGAAATTTCTAGCTCTCTATTTCCTCTCTGTGGAAAATCGATAATATATATATATATATATATATATATATATATATATATATATATATATATTTTTTTTTTTTTTTTTTAAAGAAAGAAACGGCTTACAAAGCTGCAGGGGAGAGGCAACTGGGGAAGGGGTGTGTGTGGGGGTGTGTATTGGATGTGGCTTGTCACAGGCGACCCTATCGTGTTGCAAACATTCATTTTCACTCATTTAAAAAAATATATATATTTTATTGATTTTTTACAGAGAGGAAGGGAGAGGGACAGAGAGCTAGAAACATCGATGAGAGAGAAACATCGATCAGTTGCCTCCTGCATGTCCCCCCACTGGGCATGTTCCCGCAACCAAGGTCCATGCCCCTGACCGGAATCGAACCCGGGACATTTCAGTCTGCAGGCCGACGCTCTATCCACTGAGCCAAACTGGTCTCGGCTTCCCTCCTTTTTAATCAGAGGCCTGGTGCATGAATTCGTGCACCTGTGGGGGGTCCCTCGGCTTGCACTGTGGGATGGGGCCGAAACCGGTTCTCTGACATCCCCCCCCCCGAGGGGTCCCGGATTGCCAGAGGGTGCAGGCCAGGCCGAGGGACCCCACGGGTGCACGATCGGGGCCGGGGAGGGAGGCAGGAGGCTGGCCAGCCGGAGAGGGACCGTGGGAGGGCTCCAGGGCGTGTCTGGCTCATCTCTGATCCAGTCCCGATCAGCTGGACCCCCCAGCAGCAAGCTAACCTCCCGGTCGGAGCATCTGCCACCCCTGGTGGTCAGTGCACGTCATAGTGAGCGGTTGAGCGGCCTTAGCATCTGTCTCATTAGCATGTTACGCTTTGATTGGTTGGAACGGACGACCGGACACTTTGCACATTAGGCTTTTACTATACAGGACTGATCACTCTCCCCTCCCTCGTTTTTACCTGCACTTAGAGGCGGGTGCCACAAGGAGGCGCTGTGGCTGGCTGTGGGCTAGTCGGAACTCCATGCTCCGTAGTGAGGTCTGGGCCCCCGGTGCGTGACTATGTGTGATCCCCGTGCCAGGCGTGTGGATACCCAAGCCTCAGGTGCCGGAGAGGAAGGTCCCTCTTGGGGCCCTTAAACAGATGTTTTTATTGGTGTCAGAGACGCGATGGGGCTCGAACCTGAGACCCTTCGGTCCGCAGGCCGGCGCTCTGCCCACTGAGCCACACCAGCCAGGGCGTCAGCTACACTCGCTTCTAAAATAAACACGTAAGTCTGTAAGGCAGATGGGAGCGGGACCCTGGGCCGCCCCCGCGAAGGTCACGGCCGAGGGCGTGGGACGTGGGAGGGGGCGAGGGGAAGCGCGCTCACCCGGCACTGCCGGCTCGCGCCCCGCGGTCCGCACCGGCCACAGGATGTGGGTTCCGGGCCCGTCAGGGGGTGGTCGGGGCCAGGAGCGCAGCGCAGCGGCTCCCAGGGCCGGGCGGGCACTGCTGTCCGTGGGAGCGCCCCGTGTCTGCCCGTGTGTCTGTCCGTGCGTCTGTCCCCGTGTCTGTCCGTGTGTCTGTCCGTGGGAGCTCCCCGTGTCTGTCCGTGTGTCTGTCCGTGTGTCTGTCCGTAGGAGCTCCCCGTGTGTCTGTCCGTGTCTGTCCGTGTGTCTGTCCGTGGGAGCTCCCCGTGTCTGTCCCCGTGTCTGTCCGTGTGTCTGTCCGTGTGTCTGTCCATGCGTCTGTCCGTGGGAGCTCCCCATGTCTGTCCGTGTGTCTGTCCGTGGAGCTCCCCGTGTCTGTCCGTGTGTCTGTCCGTGGGAGCTCCCCGTGTCTGTCCGTGTGTCTGTCCGTGGGAGCTCCCCGTGTGTCTGTCCGTGTGTCTGTCCGTGAAACTCCGTGTGTCTGTCCGTGTGTCTGTCCGTGTGTCTGTCCGTGGGAGCGCTCCGTGTCTGCCCGTGTGTCTGTCCCTGTGTCTGTCCGTGTGTCTGTCCGTGTGTCTGTCCGTGGAGCTCCCCGTGTCTGTCCGTGTGTCTGTCCATGGGAGCTCCCCGTGTGTCTGTCCGTGTGTCTGTCCGTGAAACTGTCCGTGTGTCTGTTCGTGTGTCTGTCCGTGTGTCTGTCTGTGTGTCAGTCTGTGTGTCTGTCCGTGTGCCCAGATCCGGGGGGAGAACCGGGGGAGAGGGGAGCGGGGCCAGGCCGGTTCGAGGCCCTAGGTCACAGCCTGGGGCCGGGTTGTGGTCTGGGGTTATGGTCCAGGATTGTGGTCTGGGGTCATGGTCCGGGGTCACAGTCTGGGGTCACTGTTCGAGGTCATGGTTCAGGGTCATGGTCCAGGGTTGTGATCTGGGGTCATGGTCCGGGGTCACGGTTTGAGATCATGGTTCAGGGTCATGTTCCAGGATTGTGGTCTGGGGTCATGGCTCGGGGTCATGGTCCAGGGTCATGGTTCGGGGTCATGGTCTGGGGTCATGGTCCAGGATTATGGTCTGGGGTCATGGTCTGGGGTCATGGTCCAGGATTATGGTCTGGGGTCATGGTCTGGGGTCATGGTCCAGGATTATGGTCTGGGGTCATGGTCTGGGGTCATGGTCCAGGATTATGGTCTGGGGTCTTGGTCCAGGCAGAGGTGGCTGCACTTCCTCAGAGCGGCCACCAGGGGGCAGCCCAGCAGCTCTGCTCCCACCTGCCATCCCTCCTCGGTGCTGGAGAGGCAGAGATGGTGCAGGCACTTCCTGGTCCCCCCCCCCCCCCCCCCCGCCCGGGACTGGGGACCCCGGGGCGCTGGCACGCTTCACTACACCTCCTTCGTCCTGACAGGGAGCACGACTCACCCCGGGCCCCCCTCCCCCGGACCTCACGGTCCCCCCCTCGCCCCCCCCCCTTCAAGAGCAGCGTCCACGGGGAAGGGGGCCGGTGGGCACCCAGGTGCCAGGATGTGGGCGGGCATGGCCTCCTTCTGTTTGTCTGGTACCCCTCCACCCGGGGGTATTTCCCCCGAGGATTTACTTTTAGAGAGAGAGAGTGGAAGGGAGGGGAGAAGAGAGAGAGGCTTCCACTCTCTTTTAAAATATATCTTTATTGATGTCAGAGAGGAAGGCGGAGGGAGGGAGAGAGAGAAACATCCATGATGAGGGAGAATCCTGGATCGGCTGCCGCCTGCACGCCCCCTCCGGGGATTGAACCCACCACCCGGGCATGTGCCCTTGACCGGACTCGAACTCACAGGGACCCTTCAGTCCTTAGGCCGATGCCCTACCCACTGACCCACACCAGCCAGGGCCCTTCCACTCTCTCTAGAAATCAATGGGAAAATATCCTCAGGTGAGGATGGAAAAAAAAAAAAAAAAGACTCGATGAGAGAGAAACACCGATCCGCTTCCTCCTGCGCGTCCCCCACTGGGGATCGAACCTGGGGCCCTTCAGTCCGAGGGCCGATGCTCTATCCACTGAGCCAAACCAGTCAGGGCTTTAAAAAAAAATATATATATATTTTATTGATTTTTCACAGAGAAGAAAGGAAAGGGAGAGTTAGAAACATTGATGAGAGAGAAACATCCATCAGCGGCCTCCTGTACACCCCCCACTGGGGATGTGCCCGCAACCAAGGCACATGCCCTTGACCGGACTCGAACCCGGTACCCTTCAGTCTGCAGGCCGACGCTCTATCCACTGAGCCACACCGGCCAAGGCAAGATGGCCTGTTTCCCTTCATGGAAACGGGGCTTGCCATCCATGGCTGGTCTCCGGGGAAAGCCGAGCGGGGCTCGGCGGAGGCCAGGGGCGGGGCGCCTGGCTCCCCCGGACCTGGGCTTCTCGCCCTATTAGGTCACTGAGCCCCGTGGTCCAAAAAGCAAAAATAAAAACGCTGATGTTTATCTGAGTCAGCGCCATCGCGTCCTCCCTGGGTTTCTGTGGTCTGAGGTACAAATCCAGTGGGCAGGCCCCGCCGGCCGGCGTGGCTCAGGGCTGGAGCGTCGACCTGTGAACCTGGAGGTCCCGGGTTCGAGTGCCGCTCAGGGCACAGGCCCCGGGTGGCGGGCTCCATCCCCAGGGTGGGGCGTGCAGGAGGCGGCCGATCCAGGATTCTCTCTCATCACCGAT